AAATGGGTAAAAAAAATAATTTAATTGACCTTGTACAGGCTGTAGGAAGAGGAAAAACGCAATTCTGAGCCGTCCATCTGNTAATTCATACCAGATGGTGCGTTTTCAGGATGAAAATATCTCATGCAGAGGAAAATTCATCAACAAATATTTTATCCCTAAGTTACAAGATTGCTGTCATATCATTATTATTGTTTCATTTAAGAGTTAATTTCTTGTCTGTGATTATTGGACATCCGAACCGAAAAACTACTATCCCTTGTTTCACATAAAACAAAGATATTTCGGAAGCAAAATACGTATGGGAGTATCGAATAACGAAGGAGTAGTGCTAGAAATAATATTTCTTGAGTGTAAAGAGAATATAATTTTTTTGAACTACTAAAATTATTTTTGCGACAAAAATTTTTCATTCCGGCACACTTTCTGCATGTTTGGCACAAACAAATTCTTTATTGATAATTTTCAAAAGTAGGAAGAGGAAAGACGCAATTCTGAGCCGTCTATCTGCCTATAGAGAACCCAAATTTCCTCAGGAATCGAATGGAGTTGGTTTTAAGGCTCTATCTCTCATAGTTTCCGAGATAATCGCGAAAAACGAAATGGCAAAAAAAAATAATTTAATTGATCTTGTACAGGCTGTAGGAAGGGGATAAAAGCAATTCTGAGCCATCTGCCTATAAGGAACTTCGGTTCCTCAGGAATCGAATGGAGTTGGTTTTAAGGCTCTATCTCTCATAGTTGCCGAGATAATCGCGAAAAACGAAATGGCCACAAAAAATAATTCAATTGATCTTGGACAGGCTGTAGAAAGAGGAAAAACGCAATTCTGAGTCGTCCGTCTGCCTATAGGGAACTCAAATTTCCTCAGGAATCGAATGGAGTTGGTTTTAAGGCTCTATCTCTCATAGTTGCCGAGATAATCGCGAAAAACGAAATGGCCACAAAAAATAATTTAATTGATATTGTACAGGCTGTAGGAAGAGGAAAAACGCAATTCTGAGTCGTCCATCTTCTTATAGGAAACCCAAATTTCCTCAGGAATCGAATGGAGTTGGTTTTAAGGCTCTATCTCTCATAGTTTCCGAGATAATCGCGAAAAACGAAAAGGCTAAAAAAAAATAATTTAACTGATCTTGTACAGGCTGTAGGAAGAGGAAAAACGCAATTCTGAGCCGTC